CTTGAATGTGACTTCTGACAGGACTGAAGATGTCGGTATTAGGGTTTAGCTGCGGGGTCTGGAAGGGGCTTCCCGTTGTCTGGAGCTGATTAGGTCCATGGCTAATATATCCTCCTTGTATAAAAGACAGTAAATCATCCTTTAATGTATTTAATTCACTTTTAAATTTACTAAAGTTTTCCATTTGTACTTCTTGCCACTATTGTTGACTTTCCTGTAGTTGCTGCTGACTTTCCTGCAACTGTTGGAGACTTTCTACCTGTTTCCTTTCTTGTTCCAGTTGCCACTGCTGTAGCCTCCCTTCTTGTTTCTTTTTTCGTTCTTCTTGTTTCCTTTCTTTTTCCTCTAGCAACTGCTGTAATCTCTCTTCTTGTTTCTTGACTTCCGCTGTCGTAACAATACTTACAACTGTTTTAGCCTGTTGGAAAAACCTAAGGTCATATTATAGATGTTATAGATGCACTGTTCAGTATTGGTGGCACTATAGGCAAATACTATTATCACTGTTTCTGAGTACCATAGGTACAAATAGCAATAAATGAATTAATTTATTTTGAAACTATTAAATATTTTCTTGTTGCTGGCATGAAAATTAATTACTTAATTAAAGAAATATTATCCATATCGATATGTATAGCCAGATGCAAGTTATTGGTATTATAAGCAAAAAGTGGTAATCTGTATGTATGGATGGATGAACAGGTAGAAAGAAATTGATTATTGATTCATCTCTAATATATAGGTATTATTTGTCGATGCATCTCATATATGTATATATAGATATTAATTATTGGTGCAACTCTAATATATAGTTAATTAATTAATGGGAGCTATATTATCACAGGACGAAACACCAGCTCGAAGAGGATGTGGCTCAGAAAGATTCACAGATAAAAACTTACCAGACTGAGATTAAAACACTCCAGACAGAAATGAATTCTTTGACATTGACTATTAAACAGCTTGAAAAGCAAAAAGCAGAGGCGGTGAAGTGTTTGGAGGACTTAAACAACCAGGTAAGAGGTATCTGATGCTTGCTTGAGTGTCTTCTTGTGTTCTTCGACTCGTCTTTCATGTCATCAAGTCTGAGACTAACTGTTTGGGTATGAAATATTGTTTGATACATGTTAAACCTAAATATTAAGAGTACTATGATTTGGATGTTAATAAAAACAAATAATAATTGTGATACGTAATGATTTGTACAATGTAGACCTGAAAAGTTTTATTAAGAGAATTAAAGAATAAGGAATGTGCAACAGTCTGTTGAGTCTTCAGATCGGTTTTGTGTATTTGAATTTGATTAATATATTCATTATTGAAAATAATTATAAAAATGAATGTACAAAAGGTCAAATACTCATTTATGATATGAAAATGAGTGAATAAAAGGTCAAATACTCATTTATGATATGAAAATGAGTGAATAAAAGGTCAAGTACTCATTTATTATATGAAAATGAGTGTACAAAAGGTCAAATGCTCATTTATTATATGAAAATGATGTTATAAAAGGTCAAATACTCATTTATTATATGAAAATGAGTGTATAAAAGGTCAAATACTCATTTATTATATGAAAAGGATGTTATAAAATGTCAAGTACTCATTTACTATATGAAAATGAGGGTATAAAAAGGTCAAATACTCATTTATTATATGAAAATGAACTGCAACAGCATACAGTGACATCTTGTTGGCTTACACTGTAATTCATTGTCATCCAACCAATCAGAAAGTGCCACTCCATTATCAGACCTATAAAGTACAGGCAGTCATACTATTCCTAATAGTAGTAGTGTGATTTAAGTCATGGCTCTCAGGATTGAAATACTACATGAAAAGCATTTATAAAACAAAGGTATAGTTGGTCATGAACACTCCATAGTAAAATAATACAGCAAAATTTCATGTTTCAGTTGGAGCTGTACGCGAGACTCTGAAGTGGGTTTGTGAAACTGACACTGTTAAAAACAGAATACAGAAAACCCAAACTCTCCAAAAGTGGTTAAAAGTATCTTGGGATATGTTTTTCATAACTAATGACCCTTCTGAATATACAGGTATAAATATTACCTCTAAAACAGTAAGATACATGTTAACACAAAATGGTCTCATTAGATATGCAGCTGCTTGAAAACTGGTGTTGAGGTAATCAAACCAAAAGGTTGAAATAGCATAAACAGTGGAATGAACAAAGCAGGAGACGTGTGTTCTCTACAGCTGAATACAAGTTTTGATATATATTGATAACAATCAATGACAACTTGTTCACCTATGGAGAAGAAAATGGTATCTTAAGCAATGTACAACAGCATGGGTTCAGTACTGGTTTGAGGCTCCATTTTCAGTCAACAGTATCAGTGGTCAACACAACTTTAATGGCACTCTGACTGCAGACAAGTACAGGCAGATTCTGATCTGTCGAGCCACGAGACTCATTGGTTGAGCAATACAATTATCCCAACCATGTAGCAAACATAGTGAAATAACATTGACTGTATAGAGGCCAATGGAACAGTCGCAACCACGAGTTGACCTGCACAAATTCCCGATATGATTGTTCTTGAGGTGTGGGCCTATATAAAATCTAAAAAGGTCAAAGGACTAGCCAACAACTTGGTTAAATTGTGATGAGTAATACAGGATAATTAGAACACTATTCCACAGTTTTATGTTAATGATATGTTTAAAGCAAAGAACTCAAGTACAAAATACCAGGGCATTTTACAACCAGTGCTGTTAATTTTTTATGTCATGGTAATTTTTTTGTAGTAATAACAAGTTAACCATCTAGGTGTCTTCACTTATTGTTTGGGACTTCTGTATGTGTGTCACTAGTGTGTTTACAGAAGTATTTCCATTACTGTTTGTATAACAAGGTGGCCATTAAACTTAAAAACTTGGAAATGTCAATTTATAAATGGGATCAGAAAAAATTGTCCCAAAAGTTGGGGAAAATTTGTGGGCTTCCATTCTTTTGTTGTTTTATGTTAAATCTCAACCTGTGTGTTCTCACAAACCATGCTACTCATCTATGCCAATTATTGGTAGGTTTTAATATAATCCATATATATATATGTTACTTTTTCCAGTGACAATTATCTAATTTATTATATTTAATGGTAGGTTACATCAAATATTCTTTTGAAGAAAAAAAAAGAAACATTACATAGTACAATCAAGTTGCAATGTCTCTATTTGAAAGATTTGTCTGAAGTATGTTGTGATGTTTTTAGTATTCTTTATTATAAGATTGTATGTTAATGATGTGCAGTATGAGCAAAAGTTGGACTATCATTTTGTATGTGTGGTTGCATTTGTCTGGAAAATCTGGAACTTTGACCAGAACGCTAGAATAAAACCTTTGGAAAGAATGTGTAAATTGCTATTGAAGTAACATTAAGTCATACCCATGAATCTATTCTATGCTTTCTGCTATGATCTATTTAACTCTGTGCCCTCCCCACACCTAATTAAGACAAATTGCATCATTGAATTAAACACCCATCTCTGTCAGGACCATCCATTCTCCTCCTCAAATGCATTTGATGTAGCTTTCTAGTATCCACACCATTACGGTTCACTCTCTTACAGCTAGCAAGGTTCTAAAAAATTTTCAGATGGTTGCACTTCTTCCCATAGGTCTGGCAAATTTGCTATCTTTTCAGGAGATGCTACATGACCCATGGTCTCTTGCTCAGGTTCCTTTGGATTGTCCTCTTAACTTTCCTCTTTGACTATATGTGTAGGTGGTTGAACATATCCCCACGTCGTTGGGTTTACTGATTCCTCCCCCTCATCTGGATTTGTTTCTCTTTCAGTGTAGGAAAATTATAACATTTGTTTATCATTTAGCTACATTCAACAGAGATTTTAAGTATTTAGTTATTTCTTCTCAACTTTTTTTGCTGGTGTTGATGCTTGTGAAAATGGTAAGCTAAAGTTTTGTGTTTTAATGCTTTTAAGAGGTTTAATATGTGTTTATATTCTTCTGAATAAGATTCCAAAAGATATGGAAAAAGGTTTGAGTTATTGAATTCAGGAAGGATTTTGAGACAGTGAAAAGACATGTTGAAAATTAGAGATGACTTATAGAAGTCTGAATTGAGGGTAGGGGAATTTCTTTAAAGAATATTTTTCCCCTTGTTTATTGTTGAGTTCTAGCTTGAATAATACACAAGTGAATTGTGTTTTGAAAATTATTGAAGACAAAATGAGTTGAATTTAAGTTAGGTTATTCACCACTTAATTCTTCCTCCTTGGATGCTTTCACTTTGATGGTTTCTAATGGATTTTATTGCCTAGATTTCATTCTCTGTGAGATGTAGTTTTTATGGCCTGTAAGTCTCTCGTTAAGTTCCTTATATTTATGATGACACTACATTATAGCAAGACACTAAGGTAAGACACACTAGTTGTTGTCCATAACTTGTGTGTAAAAATCATAAGTGCTGCATGAAAAAAATAAGACAAGCTAAGTTGTTATCGTGTGTGAAGGTTCTTACTAGATCTTATCATGAAAAATTTATGTAATTGTATTTTAACTGATAGATTCATTTCTTTTATTAGGCTGAAGAGATGAAAATCCAGATACAGGAGCAAGAAACCTCATTCAAGGTAATTGTTTCATTTAATTTAATATATTTAATCTTTCAATTAGAGTGAAAACTAACACTGATCACTCAGAATGATACATCTTGATTATATTATCATTTTGTTATTTACAGTCTGGTCACTCAGAATGTTACATCTTGATTATATTATTATTTACTTAGTGTTCAGTCTGGTCACTCTGAATGTTACATCTTATTTATATTATTATTTACTTAGTGTACAGTCTGTACACTAAGTATGTTACATCTTGATTATATTATCATTTTGTTATTTACAGTCTGGTCACTCTGAATGTTACATCTTGATTATATTATTATTTACTTAGTGTACAGTCTGACCACTCAGAATATTGCATCTTGATTATATT